AATTCTACCCATAGCCAAGTTACTGGCTACTTCTTCAAGCATTTCCCTCCCTGGTACTACCAGCAAATTTACACAGTCAAGGAACTTAACAGCTTTCTAAAATTATCCAGGTGCCAATTACAACCACGAAAGAAAAGCAAAAGGAAAAGAAGGGTCAGGCAGCCAGAGAGCTCTGCAGGTGGCACCAGGCAACATCACACTTGCTAAAACACGTCCTTTTGCACAGAGGAGGAAATAGGCCAATATTATGGCAAGTTGTGCCCTTCTCCCAGTGCTGACAATAATCACACAGCACCAAGTAAGACTCAAAGGGGGCATGTCTCAGTCACAGTGACTCACCACAAGATAAGGGGGGGAGGGGGAATGGCAAAAGCACAGGCACCAGGACATTCTCTTGCTTCCAAGACAAGACCAATCATCCCTCTAGGAAAAGGGAAAGAGGCAAGGGTTCATCAAGCAATGCATAACTTAGCAAGTGAGTTTAACAAATACCATCAGGTTTTGTGCACAGAGGAAATAAAACTCACTGGTTTTAGTAGCTAAAATATCAGGGGAAATTACTGTCTGATGACAGCAGTAAGCTTCCCACAGCAGTCTCAGGTGCCTGCCTTTGGAGACCAGCCCCAAAGTAGAAACTCCTCTCGACTGCTCCTGAGAGAGGCAATTGGAACTTTATGTGCTCAGGAAAGTGATTCCCTCCCCTAAGTCCTGGCTCACCTGCCTGAGCACCTACAGTGCTTATATTCCACCTCACTCTCTGCTTTGCACGTTCGTATCAATAAAAGAAACTTCCAAGGTCTTCCTCCAGTCCGAGTTGCATCTTCTCTGCACACCCATACTCTCCCACCTGTTCACGTGCGCTGCTCCCCTCTCCTGCGCTGCTTCCTGGAACAGGGCTCATCCCTCGGCACCTTCCTCGAGCGATAATCCAGGTATATCAGATGCTTCCCCCAGCCCCTGCGAGATGCTCTCACCATCACTGCTTGAGAGACTCCCTGAGATCGACTGCTCCCCTGCAGAAGTTCCCTATAAAAAGTGCCCCAGATAACCACCCAGCACAGCCCGCGCCTCGTTATCCTCCCTGCCCACACCTAGGGCTGTCCCGCCTTTTTGTCACCCTCACTGGCCACACCTGGGGCTGACCCGCATGGGAGGGGAGAGAAGAGCGGGTGGAGTCACAGGCGGGCACGCGGTAGAGGAGGCGGTGCGAGCAGGAGGGAGGGGCCGGCGCTCCGCTCGGGGCTCTGGGGTTCTTTTGGGCTGGTTTTGGGTGCGGGTTTTGGGGGACTGCGCACACCCTCCCCTGGTCACAACCCTGCCCCAGGTCGCTGCACCCTACTGCACTCCCGACACCCCTTGCTCAGCTCCGCGGGGAGCTGTGCCTCCTCTGAAGGTGGCAAATGTCTGCAAAGCCAGTCGGGAAGCCAGAGAGCTCCAGCCCCCGGGCCCCGCCGCGGCTTCCCCGCCGTCACCCGGCACCTCCTGCACGTCCCGCCCCGCAGCGCCGCTCCCGCTGCCGCCCTCGAACACAAGGAACAAACCCCCCAGCACAGGCCGGTCCCTCCCCGGCAGCCTCGGCAGCGCCGGGAGCGGCCGCAGCCCCCAACGCCGGGCGGGGCGCGCCGGGAGGGGCCGCGCGGGGCGGGGCCCGCGGCTGCGCCCCCGCGGGGAAGGGACCCCCGGGCCGGCCCCGTCCGGCACCGCCGCTGGCCCTGCTCGGCCACCGCCCCGCCCCTCGCCCACAGTTTTAACATTAAGAGCCAAGATTTAATCCAGAGCACCGCAAGCTCCCAAGTGCAGGGGATTTCCATAGACTTGTTATTTTTCTCTTTTTAATGACCACGTTGCTAAAGTCAGGGAAATACAATCAGCATTCCCTAAACACTACCACTTCTACATCCACCTGCGATCAGGGGCCGATGCGCAGCAGCCTGCCCTGGACAGGCTGCAGGGATGCTGTGAAGGCCACTGTTCCCCAGGTTTGAATGACTCTGGCCATGATCCCCGGCCCGTGAACAGAAAGCCCAGAGCCAATGGGAACTCCAGCCAGTTGGAGGCAGATGTTACTCCGTCCCAGTTTGCTGGGGATGGGGACGAAGGCGCCCTTCCCTGTTCGGAAGTGGAAGTCGTCCTCTGTGCAGAGCCCACTCTGATCCTCGGCCTCGTGGGAGCCAATTCCCTTGTCCCAGCCCACTTCCTGCACAGAAGAAAGGGAAAGATTGCACATAAGCGGGACATTCTTCCCTGGGAGGGTGAGGAGGTGGCCTGGCACAGAGAAGCTATGGCTGCCCCAACCCTGGAAGTGGCCAAGGCCAGGCTGGACGGTCTATTGGAAGGTGTCCCTGCCCGTGGCAGGGGGTAGAAGGAGATGATCCCTGAGATCCTTTCCAACCCAAACCACTCCAGGATCCCAGGATGATTCCATGCTCTCTCTCTGCGTTTATTTGGCATCATTTCCTCTCAAAAACAACATCTCCAATTTAGTTGATTGCTAAAGCCATCATTTAAAAATCATCCCAGGAATCAAAGGGGACTGGAAAACATACAGAAATCATTCCTACACCCACCAAATCATTATTAATTGGAACTCGATTCCCTCATCTCCGTCCTTGTTTTTCTTGGCTGGAAAACCTGATAATCCCCACTGGCTATTTTTAGGCTGGTTTTTTTCCACAGCTCCATTCTCCCATCTGAAACGTCCTGGCATATTCAGGGTATATATGGAGGGAAGCCCCTCTGAGGTATTTCCTCTCATGGCAATTCTGTGGGATGAAGAAGTAAAAAAAGCACGTCAAGAGCTCCTTCTACCCCCTTCCTTCTCAAACACCCTCCCAGTTTGTCCTTGGCAGCTCCATCCCCCCAGCACCCACACCCAACACTTCGGCTCCACTGGAAAAGGGACGGCAAGTGCAGAAGCAAGTTCAGTGCTGGGCAGGGGCTCCCTGGGGAACAGCACTTCAGTGGTTTAGTCCATGGCCTTTCCTGCTGCCCTCCCTCCTGGAGGCAGAGGATGACCCGTCCATTGCTCTCTCCCTTGTTTCTCCCACACTCGCAGACCCAGGTCCTGCTCTTTTGGCCCCACTTTTCTTAGCAGACCCGGCATCATTTTCCAGAGTCCCCAGGAAACTTCTGCACTTGACCCATTGCTAAGTGCAGAGCACAGGACAAGGGAAGGACAAATTTCTCAGCACCCACCACCTGGAATTTTCCCGCTGTCTCTGGAGGTGCCTGCACGAGTTCTCCTTGTCCTAGCTCTGCCAAACTGACACACGCACAGGAGAAATAACAGGTCTTGCTTGCACAATTCCCGACCCGAACCCTTGCCTGTCCTGCCTAGAGCTGAGGGAAATCTGACGGAATATTAATAAACCACCTTTGTTAAGAGCAGTCATCAGCCCAGCCATTCAGGCTTTGCAGGAGTTTGTAGAGAACAGACCCAAATTCCAGTCCTACCTCTAAATTTCTAACAGCTTTCCTCGGAGAGATTCCGGACAGTAACACATACAACAGAAAGAAAAGAACTGCACGAGGAGTAACAGAAGGTTTGCCACGAAGAACAGAAGTTCCTGTTCTCCCTCATCAGGCTGGGACTGTAGGACCCAGTCTTTGCCATCAAGAGACCAAAGCGTTGTCATTAAGACTTAAACCTCTCCCCCA